CCTAATATTTTGACAAGTTGCTGTCTCTTTCTGATTTCTTTGTCCTACCAGGTTTTTTTTTTCTTACTTCACGCAGTGCTCATTTATCATTGTTACAATGCAATTTCATTTTTGGTTTTTGTTAAAAGCTGCTCATTAAAAGGAAACAAAAGAAAAAGAAAGTCTTAAAAAAATTATTTGTAAACATAGCAAGCAGTGTTACACAACAATTCAAGTTTAATTGATGCTTCGGGGGTCCTGGTGTCATCTCTACAAAGCTCTTTTGAAAAATTCTGATCCATCATTTCCCATAACTAATTAATTTCAACCTGTTAAATGCTCTCCTGAGGCATAGCATTCATTTAACATGAGCACTTGCGAGATGGAGGAGTTTTCAGGTCCTCAGTGGATTGTGTCTATTCACAATTACTTACTCTGTCACACTATGTCACTGTCATATCTGCAATCCAACATGTGAACAGCAACGAATGAGATGCTTCACTCTAGGGAAACATCAGAATTAAAAAATGAACGTCACAATTAATAATCTTTTAAGATGTATTGACTTATTGACAGATATATGCATCGCTGAATCTTGTTAATGTGAAGGGGCATTATGGGTAGCTCTGGACAGGCAGCCAATGAACAGCTGTCGAAAATATAATGGAACTGCACCTGAAATGTATTTTTAACTAGATTTTAAAGGGAATTTAAATCTAAATAATAAAAAAAAAATAATTAAAAAATAATATTGCAGCTTTCTAGTTCTTAGACTAGACTAGTGGTTGCATTAGTTTTCTTTTCTTTATTTTCATCTGGTCCTTTTTCTTGGGTGACAAGGTTTTCCCAACCCTACTGTATCAGGACAACAGAGTCAGGGCATGACTACAGGATTTTCTCCCTCCCTTTCGGGAGGGGGGGGGGGGGTCTGTACAGGGGCGGACTGACAACTCATGGGGCCCCTGGGCAATAGGGGATCATGGGCCCCTGTGTCCTTGCCCAAACTCAAAAAAGCCTATGAAAAAGGTACCAGGGGCATCTCATGGGGCCCCCTACTGACCCCGGGCCCTCGGCCAGTGCCCGAGTTTCTAAATGGTCAGTCCACCCCTGGGTCTATAGTACTCAGGGTTAGCTATGTAACTGATAAAGGTGCAGCACAGACAGCATGCACAGAAAATGATCAATTGACTTTTCTTGGGAAATAATCAAGTATGTGCTTAAAAAATAAATATACTGTGTATATATACTGTCCATATGTATGTATACATATTTAATTCCCAAAATGCCCGCTATGTAGTCACACAGCCCATTTGCGTGTTCTGACATGTTTTAACTCGCCTGGGTCGCAGACTGATTGACTCAGTCTTTATGGATTAGTAGAAGAAATAACACATGTGTGTGTTATGCTGTTGGCGGAAAATGAGTGACAGGAATCTGAGCAGTGGATTAACATCACATTTTCTGTGAAAATTGGAAAAAGTGCGAGTGAAACTTCAGCTCTGTTACAGCAGGCTCACGGTGATAGAAAAATCAGGACAGCGCTACAGACAGAGAGTGCTGGAAGTCCACATAAAGTATGTATCAATTCTCAATATATAAACAATATAAGAATCCCCTTGAGTCAACAATCCAAATGTAGCAGAATAGTAATAAAACAATTCAGCAAAATAGCATATGGAAACATCCAGGTGAAAAAAGTCTCAATGGATAAGTATGAAATTGCTCCCTTCCTTCCAAGTGTTCAAGAGCCATAGAACGACATCACCACTAGTGAGAAACCTACACCTTCAGCCTTTCACCTGATGGACAGACCTACTAAACTTCGGTCTGATTATGCTGTTAACCCTATTGTACCTTGGTTAAGGGAATATCCTCTAGATATTGGTCAAGGAAAGTGCAATTGGCTGGTGCATTACAGATAACAGCAGTTTAAGGGGTGATAATTTGTATAATTGCCGCAGCTGATGGAAGCTCCATGTGAGAGGTCAATGTATTCCCTCTCCTCTCATCTCCTGATCTTGTCCTGTCACTATGTAATGGTCCCTTCTTCCGAGGGAATCATTGGACGATTCGCGTCAGGGTGTGGCCTTCCTGTGACATCACTACTCATGCTGATGCACGTGTCCGGATCACGTGATCGCACTATTACCATCTTGAATGCGAGCTGGCTGGTGAGACACAGGATGCAGAGACTGAAACTCTGATATAACAAAACGCCTTGTTTTTATTTGCTCATTGTGAGTGTGATTTTAAGGGGGGTTTGTTTGGCAAAAAATTTGTTGGATGATACTGCACTATGGCGAGTATTTTCTGTACCCACATGTGCTAATCTGGATATGAGAGGATCTTCTCTGGAGTTTGTTTGGTGATATGCTGGATACACAATAGTATGCTGAGTAATTACCAACACATGAGGATTGTCCTTTGAAGTCTGTTTGGTGAATGCTGGATATATACTGACATGCTGGTTAATTACTAGCACATGGTGAGTGTGCATTTTGATGGGGTGTTTTTGAGCACTGAATACCACATTGCTTATGAAGGAGGATCTCATTACTTCATTTACTGAGGATCATGTTTATATGGACTTTTCCGAATGGACTATATTGGGATTCCCTATTTATTGATTTTTTGTTTGCACTATTAATATGCACTTATTTGGTGGTGGTTATATTTAGTTGTGTAATTTGGTTTGCGCTATTATTTGTGATTTGTATATTTTTCACATTTTTATTATTATTTTGAGTTTTTTAATAATAGCAGCATCCAGTGAGTGTATTTCCTCTCTTTATTACATTGGCGCAATGATGTTGGTATAATAGAAGTGTTGTACTTATTGGAACATTTCTTTGGTAACTAACTTTTTAGTGATTTCAGAAATATACCTTTTCTTTCTGATCTGGTGACAATTATCTCATAAAACACGAAACTAGCGAAAGTCTCCATAAGCAAAAGTAGGGGATTGATGAAACAACATGACAGCTATTTATTGATATCTGTGTCCCTGTTGCAAATTTTATTTGCCTCCTTCCCTCCTGAGAGGGGTTCTAATTCTCCCCCAATAAATCTAAGAAAAAAGAATTTGGCTGGACTTACATTTTAAGAATTTATTCCATTTTGTAAAGAAAGAAACAATGAACTCAATAAGACAGAAAGTGTCTTTTCTTTAGATTTTTGGTGAACTAATAACTGAAACAAAATACATAAATACATCATACAAGGTAATATTGTTTCTCCACAGGACTTAATGTAGTAATACCCCTTCCTGTGATTGTGAAGATTCAAGTATCTGCAACGTCTGCTATTGAATATCCTGTGACCCATTTGTGTTGTAGTGACAGATTTGATGTCTTCTGCGGTGACCTTACGGGAGGGAGAATATAGGATGCTGACATCGGCTATGGGTTGATGAAGAATTGGCCTGGATAAGGTGACTCAGAGATGAATGCTAATTTTAAGCTTCTGTATGTCAGTGTTTAAAGACCCCATGCCTGTGCAGCTTATAAAATAGCTTGCAGTGATGAAAGCAGAACACAAAGAATAAATACAGCCTTGGTTGGTAAAGATCAAGACACAAGGCCTGTCATTGATGACACCTCCTGGTTATCACTGCAGATTCTCTGACCTCACAGACCCAGAAGAGGTATGCAGATCAGAATAGAAGGTGCTTGGAATCTCTTACAGAAATCTTAGCTTTGTAATCTGAAATATCTAAAATTCTAGAGGGGTTTTCATCCTGCCTGCAACAGTGTCAATAGGGCTAACCCACATAAGCTGAGCTGTCTCTATACAACCCCCTGGCCACCCCTTAAAATTGTAAAATACATCTGGAGGCTGTGCACATAGTGCAACATGCCATGATGACAGGCAGAACCGCCTGTCAAACTCGGCCATTCAAGTCAATGGAGCCGCCTGCAACGCAAACTCTTGACTCGTAATTGCAGTGCAATAGCCTTTTTATAAACTGCAACAAGAAAAAAAAAAAGAAAAATGGGTATTCAGGAGGCAGCAGGATCACCTCCTGATTGCCTAACAGCCGCACTCTGAAAATATATTGTCTAGCGTGAACCTAGCCTTAAAGAACTTGGACTTTGTACATAGACTTTTTTCCTTCATAACGGCTTTTTCTCTCAATGCAAATCAAATCAATAATGCTGCTTAGAGAAAGTTCAACTGCAGGTCAAAAGGAGGTCATCTGCACATCAAATGCATGTTACATAGAAACATCTCAAACTGATATTGAAAGCCAGTAATATCATGTTGCATTTGCCATTGAAGCAGATCGTTAAGGTTGTATTCCAACCGGTATTGAAAATAAAGTCTTAAGATGCCTCTAGAATTCCACCTACCTGCTCCCCTCTACCTTTTGTCACTAATCTGGTAAACTGGTAATGCGTTCATGATGCCAGAACACCCACTTTTTTCTCAAGTAAAAAAAAAGTAAATAAAGTCAATGTTTTGGACTCGGTCACTTACAGACCATTTACCGTGATCTACCAGTGAGCCAAATTAATATAGAATTACGTGCACGTGGAAGAAAGACACTGACACTGTTTCAGTTTGTCAACTTCCTAAAATTCTGTTTTATTGAGGAACTAACAGTATCATTTATAGGGCTTATGATGCAGGCAAAGCAGATACATTGATTGGGTGAAAAGTCCACTGGGTTTCTGCATGTTCTTCCATCCGTGTTGATATCTTCCAATCATTTTCCCCAAAACGACTCATTCCCTTTTATGGGGGTTGTTTACATTAAAAGATACTTTTCTCCTAATGAGTCACCTAGGGTGAGACTCCGGATGAAGGCGCCATCTTAATTATCATCATTGTTCTGTCAACCTATATCTGATTGTTTACTTAAGAGGGTAAGGAATTTTAAAGAGCAAGAAGCAGAAAGTAACAAGACTATAAAATTGTCATTTTACTGATCATCTAATAAAACGTGGACTGTCTATCACAATCCACTACATCAATACTAAGATTAGTACTGCCACCAATGAGATTCAAATCTGCCTTGTAAGTAAATGGTAATGCAAAGAAAGGTGATCTGTGTTTGCGGGGGGGGTGGCTGGGTTTTGGTTTTTGCTGTGACAAGAATGCCTTGATGATTCTACTCCACAACACTTTATGAGTTCATGCATTGCTGCTCTTTTAGTATTTGATTTGAGTGTCCATTTCGGCATGGAAACCAATTGATTCACCAGATAACCATTTTATCAAGGGGGACTCCTGGCACTCCTTTTCCTGTCCACTGTGTTGGTAACATGGATAAAGCAGTTTTGTCTTGGGCTGACTGTCTATACCTATGTAATTGACACTAATTGACCCATCTCTCCCTGATGAAGACTCTTTGGAAACAGAACTGCGTCAGACTCACATGTAACAATAGGTCAAAATCTGATTGATTGTAAAATTGTATTTATGTGGCATGTGTGTTTGATTGATAGTTCAACAAATAGAAGTTTCAAAAAATCTCCTTACCAGCCTTGTTCTTATCATAGTTTTATGTTTTAATAAATAAAAATGTTCGTTTTATATCTGCATTATTTTGTTTTTTTTTGTTTTTTTTTTTGGTGCCTTGAAAATCCCAACTTTCTGGACTTTTTGTGGGTATTGTGTATAGTATGGGGATGTGGCACCTTGGCCTACTTCAGACACTTATGTGTATTGGTTTATGGAAATTACGGAGACCTGTGGTGTAGGCAAAGGTATTGGTAGATAAATAAATAATTTTATATTTGTTGTCTGGAATCACTCTTTAAAGGCTAAGTTCAACTTAGCAACATGTTACATGTTCCACCTATTTTTAGGAGCAGCCTCTTCCCCCCCCAATCCCCCCTCCTTGTGACAGCGAGCGGAGGATCTTCTCCCTGCACCTGCTATCACACAACTGTGTCATTCTAAGTTTCCTGTGAATAAATGCCTACAAGTCCTGTCAGCCAATGTGTCTGATGCCTTGTAGTTTTCAATAAACTACGAGGGTGCTGGTAAGCACTATTGTAGTCCATTGATCTTCCTGCTCTCAAGGAAATGCCTGCTTGTAGGAGAGTCTGCAGGAGCCTGAGATTGCTGTTACAATGCTCTGCAGGCTCTTTAGAAAAATAATAATACATGCACATTTGTTACCTGCCTTTGTTGTCAAAAGGCCAAAGAGTTTCCAACAGTTTTCATGTCCTAGCAACAAGGCAAAAGTGGGAATTGTTAACTATGAGTTTTTAACCAGACTTCCCAGGGAAGGGGGGGGGGGGGGGCGGCAAATGGCTTACAGGTATAACCATAAAAGTTTTTTATTAGCCACCAGGGCCCCTTGACTGCATAGACTCTTTTCTGGAATAGGAGAACTTAGACTTTAATATTAGTTGAACATCCCCATGCTAGTACTCTACTGGGTTGATATTCTAAAACTGAAGAGTGCAAAATCTGGTGTAGCTGTGCAGGGTAGCCAATCAGCTTTGAACTTTGGCTTGTTCATTTAAGCTTTCAGAAAAAAACATTGAAGCTGATTGGCTTCTAAGCAGAGCTGCACCAAATTTTGCACTCTCCTGTTTTAGTAAATCAACGCGTATCTGTCCCATTGACATTAGGTTGAGCCAGACTGGCTAGTCCACACTTTTCTGGAGTTCCAGCTTCTAACACTATAGGAAACAGCTTAATTTTACTTGGGTACAAGTAAACTGCTGATGTGTCAGCTGGCATACATATTGGCATACATCACACAAGACAAGAGGTGGCCAAACTGACTAAGGTTTACAAGCTTTATAAGCTTTTTGACAAGCATATAATTAGGCAGTTACACAGCTGCACTTGCATTTCTTTGTGGTGAAATCTCTGCTGAATCATAGGAGTTCTATCGACCCAGGTCAGTAATCTTTAGAAATCATATAAAAGTGATATATATCACCGTGTCCATGCAACTTTTAGTGGATAAGTTAATTTGCATGTATACAGTAAATCAGTAAATCACGGTACATAGGAAAATAGAATAAATTTTCAGTTGTAGAGTATATATGTTACATGAAGAAATACTAAGAAAGGCAAAATCAGATTCATCATTACATTTATGGTCTTATCCAGGAAAAGAAATGTTCCCAACAGCTTATAGCACCTATGCAAAGTATTATCTATGTGATCTTTCTAAAAAAGCTAATGATTTGCCAAAAACACATTTTTTAGTAGGAAGTAATAAGTATTCAGGCATTTCCTTTTCTGCTGATTTCATCTACAGCTTCAATGAAACATTGACCAGAGAGATGTCTTTTCTTCTTTGGATCTCTAGGTCAGTGAAGTTGGCTAGAGCCATGAAGGCTAGAAGAGGTCTGGCACATCCATCCACAACCCTGCATGACTGCTCTTTGGCCACAACTATTTTTTGAGTATAGGGTAGTAATGGGAGTGTTCTCAAGTCCTCTGTAAAATGCATGTGGTGACACCCACAGCAGCTCCCAAAGTGGCTCACAAAGCCACAACTGTGAACAGGTAACTGTAGGTCTTATTTTGCACCTCCAGGTTAGCTAGCCTAATTAGAATCATTATTTTCATAACCTAACCCACACTAGTTAAGCAGAAATCAACATTAAACAGTTGTCGGACTATTGGAAAATTATTTCTAATTGTTTTTTATTAATCGAGATTCCTAATGTTAAGACTCCTAATTTAATAAACCACATGAAAAACATAAAATAAACTACACACAAAATTTGATTTCCAAATGTTGGATAGAATACAAAGATTTTGATTCCCATATCAGACCTTTTCCTGCAGAAATATCTCCCACCACCCTGGCAAAGCCTTTTTTTTTAGTGCATAGAGGAATGTCACTATGGTTGGTGTTTGTGCTTATAAGATTGGCTGAAATTTGGACAGATCAGGCAGTTGTTTAAAGAAAGCCTGCAAAAACAGAAATATGGGAGTTTCCATTGCTGATTACATTTTGGAGTAACAAGCTTTGTCATTTTATCCTTGTTTCCTACCGAATTGGTTTTGCATAGAGTGGGGACATGTTAACATTTCTGTAAGGTTTCTATTTCTCACTGTGACTCATTTGGGTCATTGACACCTTTACAAGTGTCTAACCCTTCCTCACTACCATAATTAAAGCATAGGTAGAAGTAGTTAGTTACATCAACTAGAGCCCTCCCTATCCCTGTTTACTGATACTTATTCCAGTTTGATGCAAATGGCTTATATCATGTCTTTTATACAGCATTTGCCCACCCCCTTCTGTCTCAAAATATGGACATTCAAAAGAATGTTCCTTTTCCTTAAGACGAGTCCCAGACTTTACAGCACGTGGCAAATGTATTATATAAATAGAACAGAATGGTTTCACAAATTTGTACATCTTTGATCATGATCTTGGACAATCAACCTTTGTCTTGACTCATTCCATGGTGATTGGATTAAGGTCACTAAAGCCTGTCATAAATGGATCGAATCTCAGTTGGTTCAGGAGGGATCAGCCGAGCTTGTTGGGCAGGCTAGTTGTACCCAAGTCGATCCATCAATCAATTTGGGTACAACCTGCTTGTCAGATTTTTTGCATGTGACTACTGCTAGCAGCTATACCCCATTGCATAATCTCAGGCTTGCTTTAGTTAGCTATGTGGCCTGGAGACCTAGAGTCCAGCTTTACTTTTGTGTGTGTTTCCATTGAAGATATTTTCCATAACTTCCTGTTCTGGAAGTAAGGAGACTTTCCCTTATAATGAACACATAATCTAATAAAACCAGACACAGGCTCTAATCTTTCTCTTCCATATCCAAAACTAAAAAAAACAATAATAAACATAACTGTCACCAATATATGAGCATTTTCCATTAATTCAACAAACCCTTGAAAATTCTGTATAGGCAATATGGAACTAATAGATAATGGATATGAGAATCATTCATAGCTATTGTCCTACTCTTATTCATGAGAGGAAGATTGATGGGGAATCACTTAGGCACCACTTCTCTGGTCAATTATATACTCAAACACATATAAAAAATAAAAAGTGGAACTTTCAGGGTCTATGGATATACCCTTAGCATAACATTGTTAGCACCATAAAAGCCCTACTTTGTATTTGAGAGGGTGTTTGAGAATTGCCCCCTTCTGCCTTACATGATGACTCTTTTTCAGAAAGAACAAGTTATGCTCTAAGCCCTAATCCAATATATTCCTATTCCGCATGTTTGGGAGTTACAGGTAATGTATGTGTGTGCAACAGATACATTCATGATCTCAGCGTGGTGTCCTTGATAAATACAGCTCCCCTTTCCATCTGGCATCCTGAGGATTGCCTACATTGTTCAGCCTTCACTTTCTCCTCTGTTATGGATTGTTATTGCTTTAAATGATGTATATGGGAGTCAGATGGGCTCCCTGTTTGCTGCTGTGTTATTTTAACCTCTGTTGAACTGCTGGGATTTGCAGAATGGATTACGAGAGGTTATGTGGAAGTGATGTGTATGCTGTATGATCTATTACAAGGTGCAGACTTATACTGCTGTGTAATATGTCCACCACAGCAGGTGCTGTGCAGATTATTTCATCCTAGTGTTGCATGTTACCCATTCAGCATAGAAAGTTCCATGACTAGGAACATTCTTTAGCAGTTGTGAAGATGCCTATTTTGAAGCTGAACTCCAAGGATGAAAAATATTTGCCCTTGTATTGAGTCACCCACCCTACTGATAAAGGTTAACTGCTTGTTTTGCTTAGGAGGTGATGAATACAAGATGATATAGTTACCTTATTCCTTATTTCCCTGGGCGCTGGTGCTTTGCTCCTTATTCTGATGCTCACAGAAATTTGGGTGGGTCCTTGGCATCCTCCCTTAAAATGCAGGACTGCTGGTCCGGCATTGTTTGGGATGACTTCAAAGAGTTACGGTTGGGCAGCAAAGGAAAGAGACTACAACTTATTGATCTTTCCCTAGGCAAAACAGTCAGTCAACCCTTGAAGTGGGAGAGGGATCCATTACAAAGGTAAAGGTTTTATGTCCTTAAAAGTACATCTTTGGAAACATTCTCAGTGATATTTGCATTATAAATACACTATAGTTTTCACCATTGAAACTAATTGCATTTCTCTTCTACCTTTCATTGACTTTCCTCCTTCTGCCTTTTTTGTCTTTAAAGTGTATCATTAGATAACCTGTCCAGTTTTTATTGTTGGATAGAGTGTGAAAGAGTTAGAATATCTGTCATGTTTTTATTGTTGTCTGCATTTCTGCTGGGTAGGTTCGCCTCCACTATTTAGTCTGGTGGACAGGAGGTTAGGAGAAGTCTTCCCAATGGAACACATGCACACAAACACGCACACACACCTACATACAAATAGGTGCTATAACCAGGGGTAGACTGACAACTCATGGGGCCCCCCCCGGGCAATAGGGGATCATGGGGCCCCCAGTGTCCTTGCCCAAACTCAAAAAAGCCTATGAAAAAGGTACCAGGGGCATCTCATGGGGCCCCCTACTGACCCCAGGCCCTCGGACAGTGCCCGAGTTTCCAAATGGTCAGTCCGCCCCTGGCTATAACAGTTTCCTACTGCAATCAAAACTTAAAAAAGGAATAAAAATGTTGGCTACAAGTACACTTTAAAATTCTATATATCCAGTTGGGAGTAGTTTCATGAAGTATTATTATTGTATTATTATATTATATGGAATTTATATAGCGCCAACAGTTTGCTCAGTGCTTTACAATATAATGGGAGACAATACAGCAACAATACAGTTCAATACAAGGGGGATAGGAGGGCCCTGCTCCTCAGAGCTTACAATCTAGGAGATTATTAGGTTCACAGTGAGATTTTAAAACATCTGATTAATAATTTAAATTGTATATAAAAGCAAAACATTTTCTTTTGATTTGGATAGAGATGGTTTAGACCCTCTGTCAAGTTTTTATTGCTGTCTGCATCTAAGATTGGGAGAGTCAGCTTTCTATTTGCCCTGGCAATCATTGTCCCTGAGACCCAACATGAGGGAAAATCTAAATTTCATTTTCACCATAGTAAGAGGTGAGAGTAAATCATCCAATCATCCAACTGTATAAAATAAGAATTTCCTTTAATGTGGTGAGAGTTCCTATCATCTTATTACATCATTAAGACAAGTAGTGAAGGGAAATCTCCCCAGTTGGACAAATCAGCACAAAAATAACCTGACTATATGTACACTTTAAAGTGAAACAGGAATGTTTGGCAGAATGAACCTTTAAAGTGAAATCATAAGTAGGCCAAATCTATCTATTCTCTAAAGCCAGCCAGACAAAACTGGTGTTAGGAGCCTTGAACCTTATTTGTCTTGAACCTTGAACCCTTATGCTCCTCCCGTGAACTTCCTATTAAAGCCATATCTTTGCACTTCCTGTTTGCCAGATTATTGGCTCTCCCCAGCCAATATCTTGCTCTTGTCTCTCCTGCTGCCACCCATGTCTTTGCTTCCATAGCTTGCTCATTGACTATGCTTCTGCCTGATCTTAACCTGAAACCACTTGTTATGGACCTTTAGCTTGTTTACTGACTCCACTTTTGTTTGATCCCTACCTGCTATATCTGTTATTGGACCCTGACTTGCTCACTTCCTGATGGGGCAGCTCTGGTGAATATCAGTTAATACTTAGACCCTGCACCTTGGGTGAGCCTACGTCATCCACCAGGGTGACCTGCTTGTAAACCTATCTTGCTGGTCAGTGAGAGTCTCTTCACTGCTATAGCTACTAGTCTTTGAGCCTGACCCTTGATCATGCCAACTGGAGTGAAATTAGTCAGCCCAGCAAAATGTACCAGGGTCTACCTACTTGGTTAAAATATTTAATGGATTGCTTGGGTAGTCGAAATTACCAGCTCATCCTAATTAGGCTTCGTTCAGGTCCTTTGATGGAAAGCATGATCTGTGTATTCCTTCACATGATAGACAGATGAACATCAAACTGATCAGTACCCCCAAGAATGAGATAAAGATAAAATCCAATCCTAATTCTTCTTAAATACATATCAATGCCAGTGTAAAGTCACTTTGATTCAATATATGACACATTTCCAATTAAAGCACAGTGACTGTACGACTGGCAATGTATTGTTTTTCAAACTGAAGAATACATTTTTTTTTATCCTTATCTCAGTCTTGGGGGCACTGATCAGTTTGATATTCATTTGTCTATCTTGTGTTCATCTGTCTATCATGTGAAGGCTCTATCTTGATCTTAGAGGTGGTGATTAGTTTGATATTTAACTGTTTAGGTAGTCCCTTATGGAGCTAACATGATGCCGTAATGCATCCCAAGACCTTATATGCACATTCTTGTTCCAGGTTAGTGACTCATCAAGAAATAAACGAAGGATAAGACAGCCATGTTTCACTCTCCAGGCCAAATCCACAACAGCTTCTGCATAATTTTAATCTGACAGTTTGCACTAAGGTTTGTTCAAAACAAGCTTGGACCAGTCATAGATATATACTTACACAAGAAAAAGTAAAAAAATTAAAATTAAAAAACAAATGGGGCATACTCGATAGACCCCTTGGTCTATCTTTTGCTATCATGCTTCTATTTTTCTATTTATTAAAAAAAAAAAAAAGAAAACTGTGAGTACTAGAGCACTTTATCCCCATCTTGCAAACGCTCTAGTTTCTGACGTTCTTGTTTGTAGATTAATAATCCACTGTGCATAGTTTATAACAGAAACAGAGAGCCTGTCTGCCATCTAAGTGTGAAAAAATAGGTTAAATGTCTCAAACTGTCATGTTCAATGAGCTATGAAAAGTAACGTTTACTATTTGTTTACATTTTCCTGTTGATTATTTCCTATCTTTATTATACACCTTTCCCCAAGAGAAAGCAGCTCACAAATAAATGACATAATTAATAACTGCAAACATCCCAAAGGTAAAGATGCTTTATTTTGATTTGAAGGTCAAAAAAATTAATTTAATTGAAAACATTTTTGAAATTAATGAATTCTGTCCTCGGTTGGTTTTGTGAGCTTTCGAAAATTCTTTTATATTGAAATTCTCATATTGCCACTAAAATTACAGCTTTTTCAGCAACCATATAAATTCCTCAATTATATTTTTATGTCAATATAAAAACCTTGTAGGCTGAAAGAAAAAAGGGGGTAATATGACTTTATTACTGCTATCAGAATAATATGTAATGCTAGAACACGACTTTGCTAGAACACGACTTTGTAAAGTTTGTTTTTTTTTTCTTACCCACTGAATAGAGAAAGACGTTTGCCTTAAATGTGGAAGCTGTGCAAAAAAAAAAAAAAAAAATGGTAGGCAGAGGACAAAAGACTAGTCACCTGCTGCCTTACCTTGCCTTGTATTGTACAAGGTCTGTGTGTGAGGTTGAACATCTTCATAGAAACCGGGCTTTGCTTCCCTATGTAGGAGTTGCCCCTCAATGACATGATACTAAGACTGGTGGGGTAATATGGAAGAAGCAGCAAGAGAAGCCTTGAAAGCCCAAATCCACAACATAAACTAGTAAGGGTGATCCTTGCACTGCAGCTTTCCCTGTACAGCTTTTCTACCAGCAAGCTCTCAGGAGAACAGTGAGTGACATCACCAAGTCTCACTCTTAAGGGGAGATTTACTAAAACCTGAGAGTGCAAAATCTGGTGCAGCTCTTCATAAAAATCAATCCACTTCCAGGTTTTATTGTCAAAGCTTAATTGAACAAGCTGAAGTTAGAAGCTAGCTGGCCATGCACAGCTGCACCAGTTTCTTAGTGCTTTAGTTTTAGTATATCTCCCCCCCCCAAATCTCCTGAGACTAGCATTGCAGGTAAATAATGGATTCCAAACTGAAGCAACTTCTGCCATTGCGTTCTTGACGAAGGAGGGTTGCAGGCTGTTCTACACCCACAGAAGGCTACAAACTGTTTATGGAGATGAAACCATTGACAAGAGTCACCAAGGACAAGTCATTGCTCTTGTTAATGGTGTTATCTCTATAAACTATTCTGTAGTCTCTTGTGGACATTGGACAGCCAGCATACCTCCTTTGTCAAGAACAAAATGTTGCTTCTGCTTGGAATCCATTATTTACCTGGAATGAAAAAGAAGAAATGTTACTATAGTAGAAGAGTTACTCTACCAACATGTGAAAATTGAACTACCTATAAAAGTTGATAAAACAGTTATTCCCACTTTCTTTCAGTACAGTCCTCATATAACTCATGCTTTCTAATGAACTGTCCCAATGGAAAGGTAGGTAAGGATTTTGGTGAGATATACCTTAAGTCCAACATACCTCAAGGCCAACCGCCTCATTGCTTTCTGGCAGAACAGAGAGGGATGGACCAGGGGCGGACTGACCATTTGGAAACTCGGGCACTGCCCGAGGGCCCAGGGTCAGTAGGGGGCCCCATGGGATGCCCCTGGTACCTTTTTCATAGGCTTTTTTGAGTATAGGCAAGGACACAGGGGGGCCCGCGATTCCCTATTGCCCGGGGGCCCCATGAGTTGTCAGTCCGCCCCTGGGCTGGACATTATTACTAGTAGTACTAGTGCCAATGAAAATGAAAAGAAACAAACTCCTTACTTGTTTTAGGGCTTTTTCAATTGTGACATCACTGTTCCTTCTCTCCACCTTAACCAATCATTCAATAAAAAAAAATGGAAGGCATTCTATGAATGCAGCGGCAGTCAGGGGAAGTCACTCTTACAAAGCCTCAACGGGGCCCAGAAGATCACCACTATAACTGTAGAAGCTCTGACTACTACAGTGATTTCCAGTTTCCCAAACAGCCTATCAAGTATAAGATCTGCTTACTGACATTGTGCCCACCTGGACCAAAGTAAGTATGCAAGATAAATAAATTCTAGAGTTCAGCTTTAATATTTATAAGTAGAATAAAGGTCTGAGTTAATTTTGATCCAATGTATTGTGAATACAAATGTAACTGAACTTCGAAGTGTTTAAAGTGAACAGACACTGTTAAATACATGGATGTTGATTGCTTTAACTTCTAAAGGATGTGGCTTTTTGTTTAGCCTGAAATGTGATTATTATACTGCACTACCAGGCAGGTGACAAACATATTGCTTTGTACAGCAACACTGCTTACTTCTCTACCTCCACCTCAAGCTTGTTCACTGGAGTATAAATCAGCATCACAATAATTAGTGGGGAGGTGAACCAGGAGGTAGAAGAATAATGTTTCTGGCTGTACAGTGCAGCAGAGTGTAAATCACAAGACTGACTGAACAGAATTACAATTCCTTTGAAGGGTAAATCTGTAAACATGCAAAATACCAACTCTGTATGCAACGGTTTCCCTGGAATCTCAACTTTTATTTTCTCTGTGTTTATCGTAACATGTCTGATACATACTGTATATATAAAATGTATATAATGTATATATACACAGTATATTGTGATTAGCAAACCTCTTCTCAAAAACATTCTAAAAACAAAGTTTCTCTGTTTAATGGTCTGAGGTGATCTGAGGAAATCTGCTATTCAAATATTTGATAAAGCTGAAAATGTGTAGTTTGTCCCGCTGTTACCATTGTTATTTAATATATGGACTATAAATCCTATGGAATGTGGATTATTGTGTTCTACTGGTAGAACATTTTCTCAGCTGGGAATTAATTTGTTATCTGCAAGAAGTGAGTGAGTGGAAATGCTGGATATTTAAAGTCAAGTTATAATGCTTGGGGATCAATTCTTTTTAAAATTTTGAAAGAACATTTATATGCTTCTAACTGATGTTTTAGATTTATTTTACTATTTAGCCATACAGGATAGCAAACATTTAACATGGGGTGTACCCATGACACTGAGGTCACAGAGCATTTTTAGTTTTCTAGAGGGAGTGTACAGCAGTAACTGTTTGCCTTCAGAATTTCTCCATTGATGAATCTCTATATGGTCCTGTCTGACATGAGCAAGCAGAAAGGGAAGAAAGAGTCATCCATCTCCTTTACAAGTTTGAGCTATTGAGCTCTGTAAACAATGGGCTTTTCCAGTGAATCATTTAAGTATTACCTGATAAGTATTACCTGATAAACATGTAAAATAAAGCCTAGAGCTTCTGCTATAAGCTGGATTGTAAATAGTAATTGTCCCTATGATATATTGTATGAGTACCTGACCAAAAAAAAAAAAAATTAAAACATGTTTGTCCTGACCAAAAATATAGATAAACAATATCAATTCCCTTTAAAGCTTTTATCTTGGCAAATGTAGTCATCATTCCTTCCCACTCTGCTCCTACCCATTCACAAATAAAAAAAAGAAAACTTTTTTATTCAGCTTAGCCTACCCCAGCCATTCTCAATCTTTGCAAAACTGAGGGCCCCTTGAAATAACTTTCTGGTCTTAGGGAACCCCTGATAATAATTACTATATCTGCAACTCTTGATTCATTAATGTGATGGTCACTGAAAATAATACACCTTACACTTGTGTTTATTGGGAAGAATGTCCTTCTTACAGGTAGCTAAAGGGATCAAAGGTATCAGTGGGAACTTATCTGTGAGGCAGACATTTCTTATTGCTCAAGGAACCCCTAGCAACCTCTGGAGGAATGCTGGTCTACCCACACATGTCCCTTGCTGCCATATTTTTTTCCAGAATAAAGACCGGAGATCCAGCAGTGCAGTTCTAGACCATCACACACTGGTCTTGTTGACATCTCTTATCATATTTAGGTAAGTGAAAGGGGCTTTCTTTCTACTAAACCCAGTTATTAGTTGGGAGGGATGGTGGTTAAAGGGTAGTGGGGGGTGAAGGAATCCAGAAATTAGCTGTAAAGATATTGTCCTGCTCTGCCAGATGTAGCAGAGACTCAACCATTGTTACCACACAGGAGAGCATCAATGCTCTTCTCAACTTATTATTAAAAGGCCTTAATGAGCAGTTTGCATGTTGCTTAGTCCAATGAAATATCTTTTGTCTAGAAGCACTTTCAGATTTGAACTGAATTACTTCATTATATGATAGGTTAAAGGTCTGATTCGTACTCCCATCTTCTCCATGGTAACGTCTGATCTATTAACAGATCTTCCTCCCACCCCAAAGTGGAATGGAACCTCTAATGTATTATTGATAGCATAATTATAAGTTTTATAATAAAATTCACTTTTACATGATGGCATGTTACAATTTAGCTATAGTCTTCTTGTAACCTTTTGAAGGTTTAAAGGGACACTTTCATTTCTACTGTGCTATAGTCTATCTTGTAAACTTTTGAAGGTTAATGGGGTCACTTTTCATTTCTACTGTGGCCCATTTCCCACTCCACGGCATAATCCATCTTGTGACATAAAACAAATATGACTCTTACTATCGCTGCCTCCCATTAACCCCAGGGCACAGAACTTCTAAGTCCTTCTGATTTCTGGCAATATGACGCTTGACAGGAAATTAAGTCATTACGTACCTTGCTAATAAATCATATATGCATATGTGGGTCTTAACTAGAAAATGTAAATCCTCACAAAGACTTTTAGAAATCAAGATGAGTGATAGCATAAGCCTTATGCTAATTTATCATGCAAAAAAAAAAAAAAGTATACAGTAAGAATGTATTGAAGTGATATTGTAAACAAACGTCTTTAGAAATTAGTGTAGGGTAGTTAATGATGAACCCAAGTCCTTCCTTAAACCAGCACATGAAAGATAAGCCCTATTTTTATCACTCACTGAAATAAAATAAAAAAGTTCCTTAATTTTTAATCTGAAGTTAACCCAATTGTCAGCAATTATTCCACCATCCAATACTAATGTTCCTTCATTACAAGGAAGCAATGAGGCATGGGTACCACACAGTGCAGGGGCTACCTGGGTCACCAGTGGCCAACCCAGACAGGAAACACATGGGCACATGGCATAAAGTCTGTTTTTGCCTCGCATGGCCATAATGCTTTGATAATAAGTTTATGGGTGAGAGCCCCAAGCTGTAGAGACATGATAGACCTATTTATTGTGAGAAATAAAAAATTATGTCTGAACCAGTCCCACGGTTTGGCATTCTCATCCTTTGACTCCATACAAGATGACATTCCCAGGAACCCTGTCAGTGTTCCACCAGGCAATAGAGATCTGCCACTAGACATGTGGGTTTTGTTTTTTTTTTATAACAAATCCATTTTCTAATGAAAATTCAATTTTCAGAGATTTGGATGTGAATCTTTGAACGGACATAGTATCAAAAATCAAAAAATCCGAAAAAAAAGTTATAACAAAATTCACAAATGCATTAGTTCCATTTGTTTCATTCGGAAGACGTCACATGATGCAATAGAAGTTCAGATCCACGTGGAAATTAATAAAATTTTTGGATTTATTCAATTATTCAGGTTCTAGGAAAGTTGAAAATTAAATTGAATTTGTAATTGTCACAGTCAGTTCCATTCTACAGTATAAGGCAATTCTGAGGTTTGAAAAATGTTATTCCATTGCATCCAAAAATTTTGAATAGTTTTGATACATGAATAATGAGTCAACCTGAAATATTGAAACCATAAACTAATTATATATATATATATATCAGTCTTTTGAAAAAAAACATTTTTAATCCACCTGGACCAACGACTATACAAAACATATGGCGAACATATGAAACGAATTCTGAAAATGAATCAGTTTGGGCATAATGAAACAATATTTTTAAATGAACAAAAATTTATTGCGTGCACATGTCTAGCTGCCACAATACAGCAATTATTAGATTTGTCTAGGTTCTATTTGGCCTCTGGTATTTATATTATTATTACTATACAGGACTTACATAGCACCAACAGTTTGTGCAGTGTTTTACAATATAAAGGGAGACAGTACAGCTACAATACAATAAAAAAAAGAGGATTAAAAGGGTCCTACTCACAAGAGTGTACAATCTAGTAGGGTGGGGCAAGTGGTACAAAAGGTTATAACTCTGGGAGATGAGGTGATGGAAGTGGTAAATGCTTATTCGGAGGCATGATAGGTTTCCCTGAAGACATGAGTTTTCAGGGATTGTCTAAAGGCAGCCAAAGAAGGGGATAGTGGACAGATTGAGGTAGAGAGTTCCAGAGGATGGGAGGGGCTCTGGAAAAGTCCTGGAGACAAGCATTGGAGAAGGAGACAAGGGAGATTGAGAGCTGAAGCTCATGAGAGGAGTGGAGAGGAGAATTTGGTGATATTTGGAAACAAGACTGGTGATGTAGCACAGGAGTTGTGAATGGCTTTGTATGTATAGTTACATTATATTATATATTTAAAAAAGCTTTCTGTAATGCCTGTAAAAAGGGAGGGACAATGATTTGAACCATTCAGACTCTGTTATCAGAGGAAAAAGCAATGTGGTGACTAACATCCGTGAATTGGTATTCCTTCAATACCCAGTACGCAGCCTGGTGACCAAGTTTTACTGCCTAACTACAGTGGAGAAAAGTAAGGTCAGGGATCTTGCTATGTTGTCTAGTAAGAATATCTGGTTTAACCGAACAGAGCTGCAAATCTCTTGGTACATCAAATAGTTCATATATGTGTATTCCAACCTT